ATATATATATATATATATATATATATATTGTTTTTTAAGTTCGTAGTACACTCCTTATTGTTCGTATGACATATATGTTTCTGTGTGACTTTATATATATATATTGTTTTTTAAGTTCATAGTACACTCTTTATTGTTCGTATTACATATATGTTTCTGTGTGACTTTATATATATATATATATATATGTTATTTTTGAAGTTCGTAGTACACTCCTTATTGTTCGTATTTTTGTACAATCTTCTTTGCACATTTATCAGACTGCCCTATTTCCTTGTAATATGGTGTAGTGAAAGTTCTTCTAAAGAACAACTGAATTGTTTTTTTTTTTTACTTCTTTGAAGAATTCTTGGTCTTTCACGTGTCCAGCCTGAATCTACCACATGTCCTTGCTGTCTTAAGCTTGTAATTAATGACCACGGACTTAGCGGTTCACGTGCTCCCTCGTCTCCCCAGCCAGCTATTAAGTCCTATAAATCAAGAACCACTAGTAGGTAAGAAAGGCCAACCCAACACACACACACACACCCTCCATATATCTATTCTATGCTTTCTTTCTTGTCTCCTACAAGCATTCAAACACCTCCATAGTTTTGGCAATTTTGACTGGCGTTCCAGTTTCCAAGATTGTACAACTTCTATTTAAATGCGTGGTCTAGTATGAGATTAAGATTTTGCAAGCTCATAACAAAATATTACTGGGGTTTCAAAGCATTTTTCTACGTAAAAAACAAAACATTGCATTTTTGCAAGTACAAATGTATGTCTGTGTTTATATAGATATATAAGTATGTGTGCGTTTATATATATGTATATGCGTGCGTTTATATATATGTATATGTGTGCGTTTATATATATATGTATATGTGTTGTGATATAACGAAAAATGCCTCAGTTCTCTTAACCAGTACATATCAAAATTATAAACGCATCAGCAACATATTTCCATGAAAACTGTTTCCAAATAATGACCAGCTACTCCTAATGGTTTATAATTGAGGTTAATAACTTTAACGTTGCGAGTAGCCGTTGTAATTTTAAATGACCAATGAATTTTCTTTCTTTTGCTATCAAAATCTGGTTGAAATTTTTTATGGCCATTACCTACCACTGTCCGAGCCGTTTTTGAATTAATTTCTCTTTTTTTTCATAGCTACTACATCTATACGTGATTACAACCACAATAATATTATTATTTCCTCATTTTTGTTTGAGAGATAAATGTTCACAGCTCGTATTAAATGACTCTAGCATACAAAAATTAATTTAAAAAGTATAAGCATTTTGTTGAATGTTAACTGCATGGATGAGCATTATTTTGTTAAGAGTGGAATGAAACATACAAAATAATGCTAGCTTATACCGCTAGAGGCGCTTCTGATGTATTTTCAACAGATTTAGAAAATTAGTCAAAAGAACTAAATTTATATCGACGAAATTCAACTACAGATCGTATATAGCAGACGTTTTACTGCAGCAAAACTGCCAGCTGGTAAGTCACATTTTAGTACATACAGGCAAGAAAATATAACCAAATTATAGTTTTAAAATGTTGATTAATTAAAATTTAAACATTTCATGTTTGACCATTAATGTACTTTCTTAAAATCAATACTATTGAAATTTTAAGCTTCAATGTTCGAAAATAACCAATGAAACAAAAAGGATTTCTGAGATCACAAAAAAAAGGTAATGAAACATTAGGTTTAAATATCCATCAGTGAAACCGATTTCAGAGACGACAAAAAAGTAATGAAACTTAGGTTTAAATATCCACCAGTGAAACCGATTTCAAAGACGACAAAAAGTAATAAAACTTTAGGTTTAAATATCCACTAGTGAAACCGATTTCGGAGACCACAAAAAGTAATGAAACTTTAGGGTTAAATATGCACAAGTAACCAATGAAACTGATTTCAGAGACCACAAAAAGTAGTGAAATTTTAGGTTTAATATGCCAACCTGATTTCAGAGACTAAAAAAAACAGAATGAAACGTCACGTTTAAATATCCACGAGTGACCAATGAAACCGATTTCACAGCTCACGTGACATAGCATTATTTTTGTCCGTTGCTCAATTGAATGTTCCGAAATACTTTATATATCGCTATATTCTGTTAAGAATACAATATACAGGTTGTCCAAAAATGATATCAAGAAGACGACTTTGTTAACAAAATATTCAGACACCCTGAACAAAATTGGAACAATGAACGTCTGTAGAATAATAATGTTTTTTTACTAGAGCTTTTATTTATTTTTATTTTGTAGTTTGTAATACTTGATGTCCGAGTAGCTTAGTTAATCTTTAAATCCACAAAGGAGATTAGCCCTACACTGTATAAGAACTCAACTGGTAAGTTTACAACGGATTCTCCACCTGCACCGCGTGAATAAAATCCATATATTCCTATATACATCACAGCTATTCTAACAAGTACACGATATATATGTCTGCTGTGTTCCAGCCGGCCTGATGAATCCTGGTATTAAGCGAAATGCCTCGTCGGCATTGGAAAAGGAAGACTTATTTGTGGTTGACATGTTTTAATATATTCTTCTTTGCT